ACCCCACTCTGCAAACTGAGTCACACGGTGACAATCCAATTAAATCGGACCAGAAACCTCCAGGGCCCTGAGTCAAAGTTAACACCTCTGTTTTTTCAGTGATCGTGCTGGCAAGACAGCCCAGGCCCATCAGCACTGGGAACATCTTTTAGTACACAGCAAGCACACTGCGTGCGCCCCCACGCAAGGCAGGCCGGCTTCCATTTTACACAGGGACAGGGAGGAATGTGAAGGAGGCTACTTTGCACTGAAGATTATCTGTAGGAATTCTTTCAAAGCAGCAGAGGTGATTAAAATACATTGTGTGCTTGTTTCCCTCAACTCACCTTCATCCACATAAATCTCATCAAAAGGGGAATGATGGATAATTAATATCCTTGACCCACCATCTCTATATAAAGGGAGGAAGTCTTCATTCTTGAAAGGACAGCGGGAACAGGGAGAGGAGCCTCACACTGAGGTGTCCTCTTCAGGGTCATGTACAAAAAAATCAAGCCGGGCAATCAGCTCCATCTATTTCAGGTCCTGATTGAGTTTGTTTTGGTCTCTCTGAATTTTACAATGCTGGTTAGTTTTTGTTGGATTTTCTAAAATCTTTTTTAATATTCATATTACTGATCTGAGGTTACTGAGGTCTGAACTGAGGACAGAAAAAAAATAAGTGAGATTTTCCTTTAGGAAGCTAAAAGAAGAAAAATAAAGTGGCAGGATTTTTTTTTTTAATCCTAGCAGCCCTCAAGAGTTTATGTCAAACTATACTGAGAGAGAAAATGTTCACACGTATCAGACTTCTGGTAATGGTTTCCCTGGTAACAGGAGAAGCAAAAACTTGAAGAAGGGCTCTTGGAGATTCAAGCTTCAGTTTTCAGAAAAATGCCAACTTTCTCAGAGAAAAGACTCCTCAGGCCTGAAAATGGGTGGCCCAAGCAGAGAGCCTCTACATGCCCATGAATGTGATGTGCTTTGAGGGACCCAAGGAAAAAGGTTCCCGCCCCTTGGTTATACTTTAAAAATTCTATATTCATGGCACAAACAACTCCAGCCAATTGAGATGCTAGCCACAATCGCAGCACTAAAGCTTCTATTTATTAGAAATTAAACATCTCCCCCAAACTGGAAGGTCTTCCTTACCTTAAGCCCCTATGTAGGAAGCACACTGGGAGCCATTAGCCCAGGTGTTGGAACAGGGGTTAAGGAGGCCAAGGCCAAAGATCCAGCTCCCTCTGTTCCTCATAATGGGCTACTGGCCACCCTACACGTGTACGTGTACACGGGAGGTGGCTCTGAGCAACCTGCCACACTCTAAAGAAAACTCAACTCAGAGCCCAAGCCCTATTGACAGGAGAAAATCCAGCTCTTGTTTCTTCCTCTGCCAAGAAACAATGGAGCCAGGGCATCTGAATTAGGCCTCCCTAGACACCCCCAGGCCTGGTCCACCCCTCTGAATCCACCCTCACAGGAAGCAGAATGCACAATCCTACTATCTCTTAGTCACTGCTCACCAAACTCCTCAGGTTAAGGACTGGGACACATACCTGAACTTGTTTAGGAGTAAGGAGCTGAGGAGCACATGGGACTATATACTTAGAGAATCCCTGATTGCTTGATGCTGCTATTTCAACACTGAGTGCAATTACCTTTTTGGTTTTTAGGCAAAACAGAACACGTAAAACCCCATTACAACAAACTCCATTTGCCCTTTAAAGTTTTTACAATCACGATCCAATTAATTCATTGTTGAAGAATCCATCGTTAGTGTTTATGGTTGAATAGAGCTGATCTCACCCTCTATCGACTCAATTCTGAATTAGAAGGTAATTTAAAAAGGGAAAAAAAGCTCTCTGAATCCAGGGTTCTCTATTTTCTCCCAAACTCCTGGTTTTGTGGGGTTTTATTTGTTTACGTTTAATTATTAGTTGAGAGGGGAAGCAGGTAGAAGTGCAGCACAAACAACGTATTTGGGGGTTGGACCACTGAGATGACAGGAGATAGAGGACACAGAAGAACCCGCTGAAAAAGAAAAGGGAGAGCAGGCCTGTGCCCAGCACACCACACTGAGCCACACAGCCAACCTACCCTGACTCTAACAGAAACAGCTCATAAAAAGGCACTTTCATCATGTTGAATGACAGTTCCTGGGTCCGAGGAAAGCATTCGTTTCAGAGTCTCTGCCGTAACGAAATGACCATTTCTACATGCCAGCCACGATCCGGGAACCAGCTCAGTCAGACAGAGCTTTCCTTTGTGATGGTGTCTGGTGTGATGTGATCTCAGCTCGCACCATACAGCCAGCAGCACCCCGCAAACACAGCACAAGTCCACCCAGCAGCCAAGCAAAGCCCAGAGAGATTCCACTGACGGTGGGAAGAACCCTCTCTTTTCCCAGGAGGAAGGGGGGGCGCAAGGCGGGTGGGATACTTGAAAACACATTTTGCCTCTTGTTTCAAATTTCAGAAGCCAAGTTTCCACCTCAGATTTTGCTAGTTCTGAATCCAGGTCTTACTGGAGCGTAAGAGTCAGTTCCATTGTCCCGTAAGAATTTGGGGAGAACATAATCATACTTACATATCAAGTGTAGGAGGCTGAGGAGGCTGCTGTGACCTCCACCAGCTCTCCAGGTGAAATGGTGGCCTGTCGGGGCACCAAGGTCTCTGGCAATAGGGGCTGACAGGTCATCCCAGCTTAGACCTAAGACTCTCACCAGTCAACCAAACAACTAAAGCAGGCCGTGCGCAGGGAGTACAAAGACAGATCTGCTGAACACCCGGGCCAACCAGGATGTGGGGCCAACCAGCCAGCCTGAAGGGCCACCACTGCGCCCAGGAGAGGGCCCGTGGCATCTTCAGAACTAAAATGCATCTCTTTATTGGCACATAGTCAGGGCCACTCCGAGGCTCCAGAACTGCAATCTCTATTCTCTCTCCTCTACCTTCCTCTCACCCCTATCCCTGTCTTTTTCCAGTGCTTGGTTAACAGTCCATTTGGCCTGACAGAAAAGGAATGACTCATAAAATAATTGTTATCAGATGCTCATTATGGGCCCACCGGAAAAGTGGGAGGACAGTGCAGAAAAATCCAAAGTCAGTCAGACAAAATCAGGCTTAAGTCCCAGCCTCACTATCTCCTAACTGCCCTGGCCAAGTTGCTTCACCTCAGTTCCTCTTCAGTTTATGGGAATAATAATGCTCGTACCTCATAGAGCTATTAAGATTTAAAATGCCATAAAAGCCCATCAATTTCAACCAAACTCTGATCCACCCTAACTTTTTAAGTTTCATACTCCACGTACCCTATACCATTCTAAGTTGCCCAAACATGCCATATAATTTGTGTCTTTATGTTTATTCTTTTGCTATTCCTCCTGCTTATACAGTCTTCCAATATTCTACAGTCCTCAGGACCCAACCTTTCCAAGAAGCCTTCCTTAATTTTACAATCCCCTTTCACACCAAAATCAGTATCAAGTGACCTTCTTCTGTGCTCCCATAGCATTCTGCACACATCCACCTCAAAGCCCATAATATTTATGTGCGTGATAATTATCAATGTGTTCATCTCTTTCCTTATACCCAAAAATTCTTGCAAGACTCTGACATATCTTGGTGACTCATCTTCAGCAGAGGTTACCACATGGTAAACACTTAATACATTTGCATAAGGAATGAATGAAAGAAACAAGCAAATGAATAAAGTTTAAAGAAATTAGATCTGGAAAACAAGAAACCACTTTCTCTAGCATCGGATAGTCTATGACTTCTGTAAGCTGGGACATAGTTACTCAAGCTTCAGTAACAGCGTCCAGGAACCATGGTTTTTAATTCCTAGGCACCTACCAGAACCTTCCTATTTACCATGCTGGTAGTCACAAACCCTCTACCTCTTCTAGAATAAGAGGATGAGAATCCTACATATTTTTCAGACAGCATTTTGAAAAACACACCCGACAAGATGAGAGTGTGGGAGAGGTCGAGACTCTACAATCTAAAATGTTTGAAATATTTTTTAAAAACCTAGTGAAGTTGAAGGGAATGAAAATGAAAAAAACGAGAATAAAAGCGTCCAGTTAAAAGGTGTCTTCCTGATCTCAAAAACATTAAGGTTTTGAAAGGAAAGCTCACCGCTCCACCACATTATCATGGATCATGGAGACTATGGTGACCTTCAGAGAAGCCATCTGATTCAATTCTCGGCCTCTAGGAAAAAGGCCGTCACAGCACCACCTCCATTCCTGACTTAAACAGGAGTCAGCATGGCAAGAGATACCACTGTTGTACCTGGTAATCTAATCCAAGGAGCTATTTCTTGTATAGCTATGTCTGACCTTGCTGATGCAGAAATCCATGGCCACTTCCCCTTCCGCTAGCCTCAGTGGATATTTAAAAAAGTTAAATCAGTCTTCATTATGTCCCTCTTAATTTCCTTTCAAGGGAGACTAAGGTACTCTTCATTGCTACAGAATGAGTAGATAGTATTTAGGGTGCCTGGAAAATATCTGTTTATTATATCATGTCAACGCCTACTTTTATGCTAAATGGTTTTCTTTGTGGCTCATCACATATTGGGGCTCAAGTTATCCATAGTTAGGATACATCTTCATGAGAACTCCCCAAGGACTGCCTATTTCTGACATGTCATAGTGTAGAAAAATCCAAACACTGAAAGAGACCCAAACCTCTCTAGTAAATAAAGACTCAAAGACTATTATTATTGTTTGTTAATCACAGGATTTCTTTTTAAATGGAGTTCCTCCACCTCTAATTATAATGTCAGCTTAGGGAGGGTGGGGAGGTATTTAAATGGCCCTCATGCTTAGCACAGTATGTGGTAAATACTATTCAGTTCTGATAATGAAGGAGGAGAGGGGGAAAAAAAAAGGAAATTCTGGCTCATGTGTGATTAATCTTACTTTAATAAAAATATGAAAGAGTCTAATAATAGAGGGGAAGGGGGGCTGACTTGGAGCAAACTAGAACTATACACTCCAAAAAGAGAGAGGAAACATGTTTAGATAGAAAGAGAAGCAAAAGAGTAGAAGTAAAGAGAAGATGAAAATTCCCACCAGTTACAGGACCATACTCTTAATTCAAAAGGAGCTCAAATTCAGGCATATTTTTTCCTTTCAGTTTTCTATAATAATCTTCCTGTGAAGACCTTCAAAATTAATTGATGTCTGCAACCAGAATGTGAATAACCATACACCTCAGCAAAGAACATTACATACTGACAAGAGTCTCCCACGCAGGTGTCCAGGGTCAGAATTAATCTAACAGATGTACCCAGGGCTGATTTTCATGAATTTCAAAGCGTTAGGTTAGTCAGCTCAGCTTCTAAAAATAAGTAGAACTAACATGACAAGGTTGGGGTTTTTTTTTTTTTTTTTTGGTTTTGGTTTTATTTTTTGCTCTTTAAATCCAGAGTTACCTATAAAGGTTGCAGCATCAAGACATTTGAAAGCAAGATTGCCATAACATTCAAATGTGAAAACAAGGATTTGATGATGAAAAGCAAAGTAGCAGGAGATGCCCCTCGGCTCTGTGCAGATGGTGAGCTCTGCAAGTCAAGCTCCAACCTGTCCCTGATTTGAAAGGGCAAGGTAGAATGATGTGTAAATTACTTCATCTCCCTGCTGTTATTGTGGCACAAATCGTTCAGGGCCAAGGCCAGTCCCAGAGAAACAGACTGATCTCCAAGACACAAATTTAGGCTTCAGGCTACCCATCTGAAGGAACAAAGGTCAAGATCTGGGTAGGATGGTTGAAAGTGGGTTAGATGAAAGTATAATTAAGAAATGTTGAGTAGCAAAAACAGCTCAATAACCAGCAAGGTGATGTGATTTTATGAAGCTGTAGAGAAGTCCTTGATGACCAGAGTTTTCCACATTTAAGTCTTTTTTCTGAAGAGACAGATGCACAAAATAAATCAACCAAAATGTACAGCTGGAGAATCAGAAATGTATATATTTTTCTTCTTCAAAGGAAACAGGAGGTCCTATACCTGCAGCAGTATTTTGAAACCATTACAGAAATAGTACGAGCATAGCTTGCTTTTAAGCTTCTGGGTGATAGAATGGCTCTGCCAAAAAGGTGGCAAAAAAAATAAAGAAATCTCCTTGGAAAGGAGGTATAGAGAGGTTAAATAACTTGCCTGACATCACAGCAAATCAGAGGCAGAGCTCAAGCTATAATTCAGTGTTTCCAATTAGTAGGCCTCTGCTTACAGTCAAAGCACATTGATTCCTAGGCTGCAAATATCACTTAATGTTTTCAATTACTCTGAAAGGTCCTGGAGGAAATAAAGAAACAGCACTTACCTTTGACAATTTGCTTTGCACACGCATTGTACACCTGCTCTTGGGTCGTGCTGGGAGGCAGCACTCTGTCGAAGACATATGGCTTCCCTTGCTAAAAAAGAAAGACAGAAGAAGAAAAAGGGACAGAGAAAACACATTTAAAGGTTGGGAATAAAAAGCACTAATGTTATTAGTTAGACCACAGGCAGTAAATCACCGACTATTTTATGCAGCAGTTCTTTACCAAGACAACAGCACTTTTACAGCATGAACCACACATACATTATGTGTACGTTGTATGTTGAGAATATGAGAGAAAAAAAAGGCGGTTTTTTTTGTTTACTTGAAACACTTTTTCTGATGAAAAATAGGTTGACTTGCATCATTCATTCATTTAAACAAACCTTTATTTATTGAGAGCTTACACTGGACTAGGCGCTAGACTACACACCGCCCACATCAGAAAATAGTCCTGCCCACGTAAAGTACTCAGTCAAGTGTGGCAGATAGCTAATAAGAAAGTAAACACACAGAAGATACAAAATGCTGAGGTGTAAAATAATGGGACAGAGAGATGACAGAGAGGGCACATAAGATCTCTCTGAAGAAGTACCTATTGAGCAGATCTTTAAAGGATCAGAAAGACTGAGGCACATGAAGAGCTGTGGCAGAACACTCCAGACAGCGGGTGCAGCAGCCAGGAAGGGGTCTGGTGTGCTCAGGGAACTGGAGGGTGGTACAAGAGGAAATCAAGAGCCGGTTCACGTAGGGCGCTGCGGGTGGAGATTACGTGCGTGCATTTTATACAATGAGAAGACAACGTTATCAGATTTAAGAAGCTGCTCTCCTTAGCAAGATATCCTTGCTTTATGTCCCAAATAATTCTAGTGTTTTCTTCACATTCATAAGTGGTGCCTTAACTGGGTCAAGGTTTCCCAGGCAAAGGAAGCCCTTCTGTACAGTAAACCAGGTGATTTCCCAAATGTGAGGTCTTGGGATTTGGTCTGACGCTGGACCGTGTACAGTTCATGGAGGTAACTGTCAGAGGAAAGAGGGAGAACCACTGGGAGGTTCTCCATGGGAGAAGCACTGCATGGCACTGCATGAGCCCTGACCCCCAATCACTCACCCTCCAGCCAGGAGTTATTGAGCACAGCGCTGAGCACTGGGGAAGGTGGTGGGTAAGACAGACACGGTCTCCTCCTGGGAGAACCGCCGCCACAACAGTACCTGTTCTCCACTAATACCACCCAGAGCCCGATCCACCCAGCTGGCCCTTCATCCTCATTTTCCCCAAGTGGCAGAGGGGAGGGCAGGAAAAGAAAAGGAGGAAAGATGAAAGCACAGAGCCTCTTTTATTTCCACCGTGTGCCTCCTACACATGGCTGTGAACACCGGGAACCACCCAAGGACAGTCTGGCACCTTGAAAAGATAACTGCTCATGAAGGATCCAAGGACAAGGCTTGTTACATCCTATAACCTTCACACAAAAGTAAGTACACAGCTGTCAGCCTGGCTTAACATTTTACTTATTTATGACTAGAGTAGAGCTGCACATAGGTAAGTAAGGTCCTATTCTTTAGGCGTTATGCTTGAACTTTAGTCTGAAAACAGGATTGAGAGAACTAGAAAATAAACTACCTCCACCAGTCTGAAGTAAGTTATTTCAAACTGAAGGAAAAAATAGGGAATTTTGAGATACTATAAAATTTTGTTTTTATACAAAACAGCAGAAGCAGAGTTATTCTGATAAAATTGAGGAAAGGTATCATTTTCTGACATTTTGTTTCCAGCAAATCTTGTTCAATTAGTGAACCAAGTACTTGGTTGAATAACCAAGAGACTATTCCTCACCACGATCTATTGCCAACGACCAGCCCACTACATTCTTATTAGCTGTATCTACTTGTAAAATTCAACTAAATGTCAGTAGGGTAAAAGGTAAGAATAAACATTTACGGAGTTTGCCTAAGTATTTGTTATCCTTTGAACCTTCTGGAAAGAAAATGCAGCTTTGCTTAATTTAAAACAAATACACTGTTTCTCCAAACTTGAGGAGAATCAGCAAAATAAACCATCATGTTTACAGCATGATCCTGCTTTGGGTTTTAGAGGAAACACACTTAATACAGCAGGAAAAATGACATTTACCTTATAGTATACAGTACAAAAAGATAGGACTCCCCAATTTTGCCCCCTGACTTAAAATGTTGGCGTGTATTACATTTTCAACTTTGAGAGGCAGTAAGCAAGAAATCTCTACTCATTTAAATATCATTTATCAAGTGGCAAAAAGAAAATACAACAACTTTGCATAAGTTGAAGTTAACTCCCAAACAGAAGCTGCCTTCGACAAAAGATTAAATTTAGAAAATTATTTGTTATGACATCTATCTTGCCAGGATTAGCACATTAAGTAGTTAAAAGAAAGGGGAGGGAGAGAAGAAAGGAGGAAAAATCTAATTACTCTTTGCCGCTTTGGTAATGGTATAAAAGTCTCACAAGTTCTGACTGACACTTAAACAAAGACCTGTCTCCCAGGCAAGAGTCTCCCTGTTTCTGATCCCTCTATGACTGAGGGTTTCTGTGGACAGGTGTTGGGCTCAGCTCACTGTAGTTGTCACTAAGGTTGTAGCTAGAGAATAAACTTTTGGACTTACATGTTGATATGGGTGCTGGGTACTAACACTTGAAACTGAATGATGGGGTCACCATTTGCTGCTTCTGGAAACATTTTCCTTTCCAGGCACTTATTCAGCACCTGGTTCTGTCCGAACTCTCTGGCTACTCTCTATCAGTGTCCTTTGCTGGTGTCTCTTCCAGACTTCTGAATGATGGTGTGCCCTAGACCCGGACCTCTGCTTCCTCTCCATCTACACATGTAACATTTCAGCCTTATCTCTCACCTAAGTTCCAGATTCATATATTCAGTTGCCTGCTGGACATTTCCACTTGGATGTCTATTCGCCATCTCAAACTTAAAAAAAGGATGTGACCTATTCTCAACCAATCAAATGGACCCCTATAGGTAAAGCATTTAACCGGCTGAGACAGAAGTCATATAAATCCCAAGACCTAATTACATGTAAGCAAACCTGCTGCAATTCATGAAGGGAAACTGGATGGGACACATACTCTCTGCATACATTACAGCTGAAAGTGAAGTGCCCCAGCTTTGTCATGAAAGCCTCCACGTAGAACGGTATTAATTGCATAGGAGCAGTGTAACCAGGATCACATACAAAAAATAACAGCAGATGGTCTTTACATTTTTATAGTTAATTTTTTTTTTTTAAAATGGTTGTTGAGAGCAAACTGTCTGTGAAGCATATGGCATGCCTATTAATACATTTGACCTGTTACCCAATGACTGTTCCCCAGCCTGGAGGGAATATTATTCTGGGAGACAGAGAAAAGCAAAAGACTCCCATAAAGGTGTAGAAGATGGGCACCAGGAGGGATGTTAAGGAAACTGAAATTAATTATCGCCAAGAAGAGATCATCAAGAAGTAATCTAATAACAATCTCTAAGATCAATCAAGGGTTGGAACCAAAGGTAGCCAATAATTTGAATGATTTTTCTTCCACCTTTACTTAGAAAGAAAGAAACAAACAAAGACTTAAATTTAAAATCACTCTGTGGAATTACCCTTAAATACTGAAGAGGGACTGGTTACTGAGATCACTGACTCTCTGCCTCAGCTATTTATGGCACGTCATTCCTCAAAGTACAGGAAATAAGTTCTTTCAGCCTATGCTGACCACCAACTGTCCACCAAAACCATCACCAACCACTATGATCAAGATCCTTTTATATTTTATCTCATTTAATTCTTACAGTAACTCTATGAGGTAGATATTATTATCTCCATTTCACAAACTGGGAAACTAAGGCCTAGCCACATTATCAGCTCTCTTACTTTGGGGAAATAACTTTAAGGATCTGTTTTCCAGTGTTCTTTCTTTACACCATATCATTTTCCTAAGCAGCTTATGATCTATTGGAAAAGTAGGACACATAAAACAGCAGAGGCAAACACTAATATGAAAGACTGAAGCAAAGTGATTAATGAGGTGATTAAAGAGACATCCCAACTACAGCCAATAGCCATCAAGAAAGTGTTAGTCATGATAAAGGTGGGACTGACATGAAACCAATGACAAAAGAACAGCTTAAGATCAGAGAAGAACCAGAATGGCAAGAAAAATGGTGGGCATGCACAAAGTACCCTTCCTTGCAAGGGAAGGAATTAAAAACAGGCAAAGGCTGATCACAGACTATGCAAACACAGATGTAAGACTTGATATGAAAAATTGAAGTTATTTTTTAAAATTCTAGAATTTGTCAGAGCTAAAAGGTCCCTCAAGGTCATCCCAAACCAACATCATGTTTTACACACAAACAAATAAGATCAGGAGAGAGTAGATGACTTCCAGAAAGTCCCCCAGCCAATTAGGTCGGTAGCAGATCTGTGCTTAGAATCCAGACTTCCTGGCTCTCTATCCAGTGCTCTAAAATTTCTGGCTTTAGAATCAACTGCTCTCTCCGAACATCAAAGAAACAACAAGCATGAGCCTCTGGTCCTTCTTTCCCTGCTTTCTCTCAATTAATTCTAAATTATTTCCAAATATACATTTGATTAGTTCAATGAACAAAGAGACAATTGCTATGAGAGCTGGAGTAGAACAGCAGGAGAATTAGAATCACAGCCTCCTAGAGTTAATATGAACTTTAGGGGCAGCCACCCCAACCTCCTCTCAACGCACAACTCCCATCTCCATGGCCCTGACAGGAGACGGTCAACCTGCTCAAAACTCAACTAGTTCTAATTGTTAGAAAGTTGTGTCCTTATATTGACTTAAATTAAAATCTGCCTTCCTGAAGCAAAATCGTCCTCCAGAACATGACATACCAAGGCCAGAGAACTGCCTACATCTACATCGCAGTTTTGTTTCTCTTTGGGAGCTAAGTGTTCAACATCCAAATTTCTTTTATCTGAAAAAGAGAAAGACAGATGTGCTTCCTTCCAAAAAGTTGTATGGCTCTGTCTTGACGTGAAGGACTCCAAGGATGTCCAAGGTTAAGACATCAGTAAAGCATTGTATTAGTT